ATTCTACTATTAGAGTCCACACAGCTTGTTTCAGGCACTCTGGCTGCTCCAGCAAAGAACTACCAGTCCTTGGGTTGTCCAACACATAATGTCGAATGGTCACATATCTGCTACCAAATATGAATCAGACATGAACATTTTTCTGCACCCAAGATTGAGCTGATACCAAGGGTCTGATCAAGTTGGAAGCTATCCCTGTCTTTCTTGTGACGTACAATTATCTCTCTCCACTCCACTTTCTCCACATCAGAGACTTCTTTGTCATACTGTGGGGACTCTGAAAGTGTCAGCAGAGCTACAGAGGCAGGGAGACTCATACCGCTTTCTCTCTAACTACTCATTGTTCTAACAGCCAGTGGTATGTGTGTGTGTGTGTGTGTGTGTGTGTGTGTGTGATATTTGCAAGGATTATATACATCATTTGGGTGGCCCATGCTTTCCTTTCTGTCTTCCAGTGGCAATGGATTTATCCCCGTGTGCTTTCCCTTGATGAAGCTTCGCCTGGGTTACGCAGGCCTCTAAGACCAGGGCTCTAGAGAGCCAGCACAGTACATCATCTTTTGGCACCATCTGGTCTTTGGTGCAGTGCTGCTCAGAGAAAAATGATCTTTGTTCCTCATTTATGGTTTTAGTTTACATTCTTTGCTCATGCCACCGGCAACACTTGGGACTCAGTGGCTTCTGAGGAAGGGTCATAATTGTGATACTTCAGGGGATGTTTACCAAAATTAAATGTATGTATAGACACATACATTCTCTTCTAGTTACAAGACTGGGTTTCACAACTTCCTGGCCAATTAAGCATAATAGAACACGTACATATTCAGGTATACACTGTTTAATTGGCAGCGAAATTACGAAATATGCCCCTTTGCTATACAAAGAATTAATTATGGAGGTCGGACACCTGCTCTCCCAGTCTGTTTTCTTAATGGCAAGGGGTTGGCATCTCTCTTTTTAAGTCATAAACAGGTCACCTGTATACATCCTTGAAACACAATAGAGTCCTCCAAAGATAACCGTATTACAGTTATGGTCACTCCTGGGTAAGCCATGCAGAAGGTGTTACTTCAGATCTCTGTGAAGGTTTGTTAAATAGCTAAGTGGCAGTTATCTATGTGCAGTATATTTGCTCAGACTAAAGATATAATGGGGCCTCTATCGGCCATTGTCTCAGAACAGTCTTCTCAAAAAAATGTTGAGAAAACAATTTTCAGTAAACAAATTGGGGAAGATTTAGAAGCTTCTAAATTACCAGCTGGTAATACATAGAAATCAAATTCGGTTGTAGAATAATGGGAACGATAAAAAATAGGACAGTGGACTCTTCCATTGCTCCCAAATGTGGACCACAAGACTACTTAAAAACAAACAAACAAAATCAAAACAACAACAAAACCTCATCAAACTGTCAAATGAAAAGCTTGAAAGCATTTAGGCAGGGTTTTAGGTTGTGGTTTTTAATTTTTAATTTTGAAACATGACAGACTGGTCTTTGATTCCCTCTTCCCCAACACACACACACACACACACACACACACACACACACACACACACACACACAC